GACATCTCAGGAGCACATTTTGTTGTTTAGAACCAAACTATCAACCAGTCGTGGAGGAGGAGGATTGTAAAATCCAGATGGTTTACCTTTGGGTTTGTGATAGATCCCCACCACTGATGCACGTCAGTTTGGTTCTTCAGAGGTCATCTCATCAGTACAGCTCAGAGGACAGCTCGCCGGTCCGTCAAAAGGCACCAGCTAGTTCTGTAGGCGGGTGTGCGATAAAGCATGGTTTCCAGTAAGTCTGGGCTTGAGCAACTTCGTCTATCACTGGGTTTCTAGCCCTACTCCGGTGATCCTCAGCAAGCCGTGGATGGCTTGGTTACAAGCAGGGCTCTCTGTAGTTGTGAGATCTGAAGGTAGGCGCCAGCATCCACCCCTCCAGCACATCAAGTCCCGTGTTAGGCACTGGGAATACCCTCTGGGATTTTGTCTGTTCTGCTTGTGAATCATTGCTTTGTCTCCCTTCCCCCCCCCCCCCAAAGAGTGTCAACTACCACACTTTTAGCTACCGTTAGTTAGATTATAATGACACCCGTGTGGTGAAATTCAGCTGACTCCTCTGCGTCTGAGAGTGCGTGTGCGCCTTTGCATATGTCGCTCACACTCTAGTCACACGCGCTTGTGCTCCAAGGGTATCTGCACCCACATCTGATCGGTTTTATGACAACAACGACTGCCAGCTGAGAGGGCGCGTTTCATTGAGATGTTTTTGAGTCATCTGACAGACCCCGCCTGTGGACGAACTATGCTGTGCGCGCGCACGCACGCATGCTCCTACTGCTGATCCCAGATGGTGACTAGATGGAAGAAATTGGAGTATATCCGGGACAACGGCAGTCCTCATCGACGTGTATAGCCGACGTACGTCAAGAGCCAATCGCGGCACGGCAAATAGAGGTCAATTCCACATGTCGTTTCTGCGCCTTCTCTCCCGCCTGATGGTCTCTGGCTCTGACGCTTGAGGCAGTTTTTTTGCAGAACTCTCTAGACTCCAATAAACGGCATGGGCACGACGGCGGAGTCCTGGCATATCTCCATTTGAACGCTGTGGAGTGGTTGCTTCCCAGCCCTGGAGTTCTAGCGCTGGTCGGTCGATTAGTTGTCTGTCATGGCTGGTAAAGGTGGACAGTGGGTTTATGTGTAGAACAGATTGTGCGTAACCGTCGTGAGGGACTGCGATCAGACATGCGCATGGGACTTCGCGATGCTTAGAGAAGCCAGAATGATAATTGTCTAAGTTGCTGTATAGCTAGCCACTTGCAGTAGGCGGCCTAACTCATGAAATGTCAACCGAAATGCGTTTTCGTTTCGAAAAGTTTAATTAAATAGGGTTGTAAAACTACTAATCTTGCAGCGTTATTCTATAAGAATTAGTTACTTCAGGATGTCGGCTTTCCAATGAACCTCTTCGGTTGCATTAAGAGACTATACTTTGTAAAAAATGACCACTTAAGTAGCATACATTTTTCGATGCCCTTTATATTTCAATTATAGTTCATAAAGACATGCATATAAATGCTCATTCTGTTGCTCATTCGGTAAAAATTAACGTTTTCATTCAATTTTCTGCACTAATGGTGGGTATGATTCCGTTTCAAGAAACCTTTCTAATTCTCGAATAATTTTGAACCCGACCTGCCGTTACGTCTTCATTCAGGGTTTCCAAACTACAAACCGTATAGTTTTCGCGTACAGAAAACCATACATCTCGCCACGTTATTAAGAGTGGATCATATGGGGTTCCTAAAACTTAGCAGTGGATTTGAGCCATAGTATTAACTTTACAGGCCACATTGGTAAATGCGGAGACTTGAAGTTTTTATGAACGGCCATTTAACGGTATTGAAAAATTTCATAATTATAAACTTTTTTAAACCCGAAATACCCCCTTCTCTCGTCCATAAAACTGGAAGTGGACGTTATTTTCTACCGAATGAGCGAAAGAATGAATATTTATATGCATGTTTTCTATGAAATGTAATTGAATTTTCAAGTGTATCGAAAATCAATGAGAAGAATGCATGTTACATAAGTGGTCATTTTTTACAAAGTGTAGATGTCCGTTGGAAAGCCGGCATCCTGCAGTAACTGAAATATTATCTAATTACGCTGCAGGATGATTAGTTTTACAACCCTATTTAATTAATCTTTTCGAAACGAAAACGCATTTCGGAATTTTGGTTTGACATTTCTTGAGTAGCATTATTTTGGATTAATTCTCACGCCAGTAAGCATCGCTACTTGTGTGGAATTTAATTGGTCAGTACAGATAAAAACAAATCAATGGTATTACTGAAAAGGGGATCGCCACGCGGACAACAATTCCGTGGTCAAATGGTCATGACGCTGGACTTATAGCCAAGAGATGACCAGTTCAAGCCTCGGAGGCTGCTCACCTCGAAGTTGGGTATGACCGGCTGATGGCGGCTAACTAACCAGAAATGGCTGCCCTTGCTTTTCTCGATAATCCTGGGCCATTTTCCACCAACTGTAAGCCGAAAAAATTTGGAATTTAAACCCGTATCCAGCTGAATATTCGACTTAAGTGTTCAGCAATTTGAGCCAGACACGCACTGTCCGCCGTCATCAGGACATTCAGAGTCCCGTGAGAGTGACGCTCAACCGGTTTGGTCTGATTGTAGGGCTTGGGGTCGGTGCACCACCTTGCGTCCCATTCTCGAGTAAGCTTCTCTCCTTGGCTGTCCAATCAATGCTTGTGTCGGTGTTATCCAAAGTAACCGCTGTCTCCTCCGGCCATCCAACTGGAAGTCCTTTGAATATTTTAAAATTTTGCCAGATGACTCCGCTGTGAGGTTTCTGGTTTTATTGTGAGCCTTTTAGGCATTAATGAGCTTAAAGGGAACAGGGCTTGCGTCCTCGGCATAACATTTGAACTCGCAACATGCGATGTGCCGGCTTTTGTGATTTTGGTAATTGGCAGCCGCGACTCCAAGCGGAGTAATTTTTTAGACTGAAAAAGACGGATAACTAAGTCCCTGTTACTCGGTGGTTTAGGAAGAAATACGATGGGACAATTGCCGGACCATGAGGTAGATTTATAACCCAAAGTATGGCGTTAATAACGGAAACAGAAAGGCTCACTGCGGTCTCCGTTGTCTTCGACAGTGAAATGCAGTGAGTGACCCATCTCATTAAGTGTTGACTGAAATTCTGAAATGCCTTTTCGATTAGGAAGGATTACTTAGACGCGGCTGTAATAATGATTATGTTGCAGCATAATCCTATAATAATTCGGACTCCACAGGATGTCAGCTTTTGAATGCATTGCTTCTCAATCTCCTGTGGATGCTGTGCTGGGCAAAAAAATGACTACCTAAGTAGCATGCATTTCCCCACCGATTTTCGATGGTCTTGAAAGTTCAAACATATTTTATAGAAACCACGAACAAAAATATGTTTTCTTTCAGTCGTTCGTTTGAGAATCGCGTCATCTTTGCATTTTATACTCGAAAAAGGAGTATTATAAAGTGTTAAAAAAGTTTTTAATTATGAGGTTCTTTAAGAAGACGCAATGGCCATTCATATAGCATCCTACCTGTCCGTTTACCACTGCTTCGCATGAAATGTACGGCATAGTCTGCATCCATTGTAAAATTTTATGGATTCTACATGATATCTTTTTAAAGACAGAAGGATATGTGATTTTCTTAACGTGGAACACATAAACTTTGTAGACTGAAATCACTAGGCGCTAATGCAACGACTGACCAGGCTCCAAGTTATTCGACAATCAGAAACCCTTCATAAACTCCTTCTTAGAGTATAAAATATGAAGATTACGCGATTCTCTATTGAACGACAGAAAGAAAACATTTTTAATCGTGCTTTCTATAAAATGTGTTTGGGCACATGCTACTTAAGTTGTCATTTTTTCCAAGCACGGTTTCTACAGGAGACTGAGAAGCAGTGTATTCGAAAGCTGACATCCTGCCGAGGCCAAAAGATAATCAGCATTACAGCCGCACCTAAGTAATCCTTCCGAGTCGAAAACGCATTTCAGAGTTCTACTCCACATTTAATGAGATCGGTCGCTAACTGTATGCCACTGTGCTTAAGACAGTCTCAAAGTTTTTCCTGGAGCGATGTTTCTAAAATTAGTCTACATTTCTCTTTCTAGATGAACGAAATGGTTACTGGCAAGTTGGCAAGCCACTTTCGCAAACGTTTGGCTGTTGTCCTCTAGTAAACTACCTGTTCCAGCTTCTCTGTCGTTGACAACGTTTTTGCCGTTAAGTGAGAGTCGTTCACCGTCAGCCACTCTCCGGCATCTGCATGTGAAGCGGTTGGAGTTCATATACTGCACTTTGTGAATTTCCCCAAGTGGTTCTGGGGGCTGTCTTGGCTTCTCTTATTAGTATTTCACACGGTTGTCTCTTCAAAACAGGTCCCTGCTCGCTTGTTGCGCCTTCGAACGTCTTTTGAACTCCTCGCGCCATTACCCACGCACTGGCTCTGATGAATTTTCTCCCGGCTGTCTTATGCTATATCAGTTTCTGCTTCGGCCTCTTCCTCTTGTACACCTTCCGGAATTCGGCTTTCTGCCGACCTATTTTGTGCCTGTTCAGCCGATCTTATCAGCTTCTCTGTTTATTTGTCCCCCCGCGCCTCCGAACCGTCTGTAGTGGCGTGGTCCGCTGGTACTTCTACGAAAAGTAAGTTTGGCCCAATGCAACCGTCTATGTCTACTGAATGAATTTCAGTAGGTGATTATGTTGTCTATTTTCGCTCCTCGTTTGCTCCTAGACACTGCCTCTTCCAGCTCACGTACGTGCTGCTTGTTCTCATCGCGCATCTGGTACTCGTCCGTGATGTTCTGCCGCTTCTTTACACCTACGCCTGGACGGAGAACCATATTTCGGTGGGATTAATGTGCCTTTTCGCTAACATTGGAATGTACCTCGCCGTTTGCCTTAAAGACCCTGGTGTGTTTATTAGAGCTTTTGTTTACACGTTATTTTTGTTCAATGCTGTCGAGTTTTGGCCCATTATTGATCTCTACTTGGTTAAATGTATGGTGCGACATTACCACCCATCTGATTCTCGCTGACCTTTCCTTCAATTTTGTGTGTACCATGACTTGTTGCTTCAGAGCACTATCCTAATAGTTGAATTGCGGAACGGGGCGTAAGTACTTCCTTGCCTAGGAAGGCCGACAACTAGCACCATTTGTATGGGTCTCTTGTCTAGATCCAGTAAGACGTTGACTTTTGACGTACATTTGTTCCTTACAGGAGTCGTGACCAGCAGTCGTGCCGCCTCCTATTCATCCGCCTACGAGTACGATAATGTCATCTACAGACCGGTTCTCTGTCCCGAATGTGCCTTTGTGAGACCTCCGCGCACCAAGCATTGTTGTAAGTTCGCTCTTTTTGTGTGCCCGAAAGTGACAGTTACCATCTATGGCTGTCACGACTCTTGGGGCTTTTTTAAACTTCTTTTTTCATGTTTCGCATTTCGACCAGCACAAATGGCCCTTTATCTGACATCCTAGTCCCTTGTATAAACCGTAAATGTTATCGAAGATTTGCGCAATTATGGTACAGGTACTTGTACTTGATACGGCTGCGATCATGGCTGATCTAGCCGACCTCGATGATGTCCCGAACTGTACCTCTCCACGCATGACGGTCCGCGGCAGCAGATCTGGATATCTTTGCCAACGACGTAGACCGAATACCGAAGGTCCAAGAACCACCTCCATGTCTTGGCGAACTGCGCCGAGCCAGGTTTTGAACTAACCCCCTCTTCGACGCCTCCAATGGGGCAGCGGTGCCGGATCGAGGGCAGTTACATTGAGCTCCTGAGGTGGACGACGAAGAACATGCCCGAACCACCTCAGTCGTCTTTCTTGGATGACCTGAGTTATCCTTGCGATGTTGTCGCAGCGAGTGCATACTGTCTCATTTGAGACGAAGTCGGTGAAATTCACTCGTAGGATGGTCCTCAAGCAGTGGTGGTCAAATACCTCCAGTTTTCACCCCGAATGTTGGCTGGCAACGCCCATCGGACTCCGTGGTAGCTCCCGTTTTCGTCCAGTGTATCCTCCACGTGGCCAGTTTTAGGAGTAATTATTAATTCACGTCAACATTAGCTCGGCGGACAGGACCGGAGTTGGCTGCGCGTCGGGACTTTGACCAGCACCTACTTTCTGTACAGAATACACTACTTTTAAGTCAATTTATTAAGGGAATGAGGCTTTCGCCCTTCAGCTCCCCATTCATTTCGAAAACAGAAATAAAATCATCAATTACATCAGCAAATGCGGAAATTCAAAAGTTAGCGGTAAGTGTGAGCCAGGCGCAAACTGCCGCCGCTAAAACAATCGTGATTATATGTACAGTAGTTTCTCAGCAAATGAGTATCTAGTCCAAACTTAGAGGATTTGGCAGTTTCGGAAAGAACCACCGTACCAGGGAGTCCATTTCCTGATCCAATGACCCTCTGCGAGAGACCGTTCCGTCGGGCGTCCGAATGAGCCAGCTTCCTCTGCAGTTTGAAGGGATGACAACGCGGGCGGTCAGTCCCGGCCAATTCGAAGAATTCATAAAAGTCTAGGGCGCACTCATGACCTCTGACAATCCTGTAGGTTTGAATGAGATCGCCGCGCAGTTGCCTGTAATTTAGAAGAAACAGATTAAGTTCGGTCAGCCTGGTTTCATAGGGCAGATGATTAAGATTCTTGACCATCTTCGTAGCCATCGCCTGTACTCATTCCAGTCGTCGATAGTCTTTCTTCAACCACGGTCGCCCGGCCTGGACTGCATACTCTAAGTGAGACCGGACGAAAGCCCCATAGGTGTTCCCGAACAGCTCTTTATCGATCTGTACAAATCCTCGCCTCAGCGCAAATAACACCCTTATTACACTTTTGGCTGCCCTTTGACACCGTGATGATGATTTCAGCGCGGAGGTCATTAGGACGCCGAGGTCTTTCTGTTCCACAACATTTGAAAGGGGCTGCCCACCCAGGACGTATTGAAAGGAATCGTCCTCCTTACTGGTCCTCCTGGTGCGGAGTCTCAGGAGGACCAGTAAGGAGGACGATTCCTTTCAATACGTCCTGGGTGGGCAGCCCCTTTCAAATGTTGTGGAACAGAAAAACCTCGGCGTCCTAATGACCTCCGCGCTGAAATCATCATCACGGTGTCAAAGGGCAGCCAAAAGTGTAATAAGGGTGTCATTTGCGTTGAAGCGGGGATTTGTGCAGATCGATAAAGAGCTATTCAGGAAAACCTATGGGGCTTTCGTCCGGTCTCACTTAGAGTATGCAGTCCAGGCCGGGCGACCGTGGTTGAAGAAAGACTATCGACGACTGGAATGAGTACAGTCGTTAATGTAAACCAATGCTACTAATGTTTTTCTTCTTTTCCTCTAAAACGGAAATGAGTCGGGATTATTGTGGTGCTCAGTGTACATCTATGACTTAGTCGTTACAAATTCGTTTATTTCGCAGTTAGTCTTCACCGAAAACTGTCCCATTACCTATGAACGTATCCAAAAACCGGGTGGTGGCACGGGTCGATTACGTTGTCCTGGTCCCAAGTGTAAGCACAGTGTGGATGCATTGAAAGAAAAGTAAGCCGAAGGGGGATGCTAAAATCGTTATTGGGAAGGGTAGCCGAGACTGGAACGGAAAAGGCAACCTGATGTATGGCAAATCTGCCGCGAGATTGAAGGAAGTCTTGAGTCTCCGCAAAAGACCTGACTGACAGGACACGCGGGGCAGTAATACCCCAATCTCGAAAGTAAACCTTATCCTTAACGCAATTATAAACTTGACGCTTACCCTAAACTTAACATTAAACCTAGCCATAAACCTTCCACAAGCCCTAAGCCTTACCTTAACCCTGACCCAAATCCTAAACTTAATCTTAACCGTGGCCCTACCCTAACAATAACCCTAACCCCAACCTTAACATTAAACCTAAGCATAGTCCGCAATCTAAACCCGAATCCTAACCGGAACCCTTAAACGTAACACAAACCCTAACCCTAAACGCAATTCTCAACTTGACACTAACCTAAATCCCAAAACTAACTCCACTTCTAGACCGGAACTTCGGGTTCTCCTTTTGCCCTTTCGCTTTGGCTAACGATTTCAGCATCCTCCTTCGGCTTACATTCCTTCCAATATCCACGTTGCGCTTACACTCGGTACCAGGACAGCGTAACCGACCCCTACCCTGGCTGTCGCAAAGCTAACTGGTAGACATCGACTAGCAAAAACCTCTTTCAGAAGTTGGATCGATTTGCAGGTTTATTCTTGTGTTTTTTAAAAGCATGACGAGGTCCCCAACCTTATACGTTTCATCTTTCTGCCTAGATGTGTATGTTTGTAGTCGTTTTTCAAACCTCTGTTCCCGCTTAGATCGTTGTGACCACTGTGTGCATCGGTTTGATCACCACTGTGTCTGGACGAATTCCTGTATCGGTTCGGGCAACCATGTGACCTTTCTCAGCTATCTCCTCTCCCTCCTTGCCATGACCTTCAATGCAAGCTACCTCTGCGTCCGGGCGATTCGCTTACATGTTCTGGTTGGTCGAAATCCCCAGCTTACTCCGTTACTGGTGTTGACGAGGCCCTTTTTTATCCGACCCAGTTGTAAAAAAGCTGGTCGTCTCCGTGCAATTTGAAGTCACGGCGGCAAGGACAAGGCGTGTGCATAGTCATTGTTCTAGCCATCTGAAATTTAAGACCCCGACCGGGTGCCCTGATTTCAATTAAATCTGGGTCAAGTTACCCGCCCATTCTACTGCTACGAGTGAAATCTGCCAAATCCGATACAATAAGCTGACTGTCCGAGCAGGATTTCCTAATTGATCCACCTAGAATCCACCGGATGACTACCAGCCTCACTTAATTCTTAGTTGTTTTGGAAAGTTTGAATAACTAATCTCACTCGAGCTTTTCACAATTGGGTCAAATAAATTATTCAACTTCGCTCTTCAATGACATTTTTGGTAAATTTTGGGACGTGAGGCCTGGCGCTGTCATGCTGCGGAATGGCACTATTTCGACTATTCGGGCGTATTTGTTGAATTGCTTGATATAGACGACAGTGTTGTTGACTGGAAAGCTCTGGATCGATGGTCTGGCTCCGTTCAAGATATTCATACTAGATAACCCCCTCCATATCTCTCCCCCTCCCCCCCCCCACAGAAGTACAGCATCCTCTTGCAAGGACGAAAATTGGCTTGTTACTTAGTGTTGCTCGCTTTTTTAGGCTTATCCATTCCTTCCTTTGTTTCATATTCACTTATAAGCACCACTTTCCATCCCTGGCAATAATAAGCTTTATAAATGCCTTACGCTATTGACGGGCGAGTCGATATCGGGCCAATTCGAATAAAAGAAAAGTGCGGGAAGTGTTCATTTTCGTCGACTGCATGGCTGGCAAAAGGCCAAACTGTGAGCATAAGCAGCGCCATTCTTGCGCATGCAGTTG